GTTGCAACTTACATGGCCTAATCACAAATCTATGTTATTTGCACAGGGTAAACACAAATAGAAACTCAAGGTTTATGGCTGAAATCGCACTGATAAATGTAGGAATGGGTGAGGCTTGCTGATAATTATTAGCTTAATGGGCTGTTCAAAGGTCATTTGCTAACTTTTTTTTTTGCCTTTTTCTTGGCCTCACCTGGTATTTGCTGAAACACTACAAAATAATAAAAATTAAGAAGAACATTAGCAAGTAAGTTAATAAAATGACAGCTTATTTTCTTAATACATACAGTATAGTGTGTATCTCTAGTATTCAAAGCAGGATGAAAATAAACAGCAATCCACAATTACATTTATCATAGATTATTCCTCCACTTCCACACACATTCTATTGAAAAATATAACCTACTATTGTTAATAAAACATTACAAGTTAAAATCCTAGGTTTTAAGAAGAAATTGCTAAGACTCCAACATTGTTGTTAAAGTTACAGTATACTAACTGATTGACATAATTCTTCAATAATGTTTAATAAATGAGAAGTTTGAACACGTTTGCCAACAGGTTTGGATACATTTACTGTATAAATTTTACTATTACACCAGAAAAACTGATGTGAAATTAATCCCTTATATTTATAAAGACTGTGTATATTCATTGTCAGTATTCAGTTGCTGTTAAAGTACATCTAAAACCTTCCACTTTCTATATATATATATCCCTCAAAATTGGTAACATGCTTCTATTATGCATAAGTATTCAAGCCTTTTACTGAGGCAAACCTAAATTAATTTCTCGTATCACGTCTCTTTGTTTGTGTTTGTTACCAAAATGTTAATAAAGTCATCCTTAATTTTGAATTTCTTTTTTGTGTATTCTCATTTTTACAGTGCCATGTACCGTAAAGCACCCTAAACATTGTTTGGTGTACACGGGTTCAACCGTGAAGACCGAGTAGTGCACAGATCAGGAAAAAGGTGTAAAACGGTTTTAAAAACCTTTTATATCTCTTTGAGAATGGTGACATTAATAGATAAGAAGTGTGTAAGGCACCCAGGCACTCCCTAGATCGGGGTAGGCTCTCCCTCCAAACTGTGCAGCTGGGTGAGGAGGAAACTGGTTATGGATACAATCATTGGCCATAGTGAGGCCAGCAACAACTTTGAAAGAGGAACAGACTTCAGTAGATAAAAAGGCGAGAAAATGTCCTTGAATCAACAACATCTCAGTCCCTCCACAAAAAAGGTTCTGTACTTTTGGGACTGGCACAAAAAACCCATCTCAAATCCCACTCAGAGTTTGCAACAAAGAACTTAAGTGATATTGAAAACATGTATCGAAAGATTTTGGGTCAGAACAGATGGAGCACAGTGATGGCGAATCTTGGGGGGAAAATTGCTTCTGAGAACTAGGACAAAACTTCACTTTTCAGAAGGACTATGATATAAAGCTGCATGGGAGTGGCTTGTAAATAAGAAAGTGAATGTCTTTAGTTTTCTAGTCAAACACTTCTGGATTTGAAAGTGCTCAGGGAAGGTGACTCTCTGATGTCTTTGGGAATAGAATTCCAGAGCTTCAGGGCATGGGTAGAGAAGGCCTGGTTACCCATAGTATGTAGATGGGCTTGGGGGGTCAGACAGGAGAAAAGAATTAGATGAACAAAGGTTGGGAGGATGGTAGCATGGCGATATTAAGTCAGAGAAGTAGTGAGGTACCAAGCCATGTAGAGCCTTATACTGTAGGTGAGCGTGAGGATTTTGAAGATATCAAAACCTGATAGGAAGCCAGTGCAAGGACTCTAGGATAGGAGTAATGTGATCACTTGCACAAGACCTGGTCAGGATTTTGGCTGTCGTATTCTGGGCTTAGTAGTTAATACTTATTAAGAATAGTAGTATAGAAATAGTAGTATTATAATAATAGCAATTAGTAGTTATGCAATCAACATATTTTAGTCTTACTCTTTAGTTTCTTCTGATATTTATTTTTACTTTTCTTACCTTCATGGGACTACAGTTATGAATGAATATAGAGGGGGCCTGAATAAAATATTAAATATAATGTGTATGCATCATTTTTCAACTGAATACCATAACAAGGGTCTGAACACTTTTGCAAAGCACTTTTCATGTAGAGATCTAATGCACATCTTCTGATCATTAGTCAAGTGACTAGCAATATTCAAAGCTGGAGAGAAGAAACATTATGCCCAAGTTTCCATTTAGACCACTGGGTCATTGCATATTTCTTAATATTGTATACTTAATATTGTATACGTGTAAAGTTAAATTCTGTCTTTGGAAAAAAAAACAATACGCATTACAGAGGTGATCAAATAATATTTTCTAAAAATTAGTCCCTGTATAAAGAGTATGATTTATTCCATTCTTATTATTTTATTAGTCCAGTTCAATGAGAGAGAAGTGCTCACCAATGAGGAATACATTCTAAAGCCTAGCATCTCCCTTTACAAAGGCTAAAAAAACTCACTTTCGCTTGGGTCTGATATACCTGCAATAAAGACAAATACACCAGCAGCAATAAACTAAAAAGGTGCTTCTGTTAAGGATATATAAAAAAATTACAAGAAGAAATTACACTTACAATCTCTCGTGCCAGGCTGAGATTAAATGTTTTATACAGTACATGCTGACTACATGGATTCAAATCATTGCAATGAAAGTGTTTTAAAAACAATACTTTCAGCTCAAATGGTTGAACTACAAAATACCAATCAATCAATTGAATAAAGTCATCTACTTTTTGGTTTTCCTTATGCACCCATACAGTATGTAAGTGATAATACTAAAAATAAAACTCTCCCAAAAATCTATAGCAAAGTAACTTACTGTACACTGGGACCATGAGTCAGTGAAAAATGTTCAGAGTCTCAGTCCATAACAGCTGTTTTTCAGATCACATGATACAGACATGGTTGAAGAACTAAGACATACAGTAGATCTATAATAATGCTTATTAATGCCTTCATTTGAGAATATTAACACAATCATTATTAGAGCAAATAAATGTATATCTTTATTTTTGCCTACTTTATGCTTCCACATCCATTTGTGCATTTCGTGCTAAAATTGTTTTTTGTGTTCTCTTAAGATTATCAATTAACAAGTGAACAAGACAAGCCAAGACAAGCACCAAGAGATGCTACTTTTGCACTTACATTACATTCACAATAAAGTTAATGTCTTAAAAAAAGGAAAAGGTCTTATGAACTTGAAGCTGTCAACCATATTGTGAAAAGTTCATAGCATTGTGATATGAGTTTGGGTCACACTATAAGACTTCACCTTTAAACAAACAAATACACAGGGCTGTCTTACTATAATTTCCAGCAAATGGGACTTTTGCAAAAAAGTCCTCAAGGCAGAGTAAAAGATATGAAACGATGATATCAGAGATTGTGTCTGTTTTGGGTGGAATTCAACGAATGTTTCCAAGCTCTGTACTCTTGTCAAGAATCAATCCACGGACAGATTATTTTTTTCTAATGCCCCAGTATTGCACCAGGACTGTCCTGCCCCAGAGTCAGAAATGCAACATTTTGGCAGACACAACAACAGCACATTTGTATCCCCTTTCCTTCTTGTGCCCTGTCTGACAAGCAATCAAACATACAGTGTCTCTTCCATGACGTTCTGGTAAAAATGATCCTTCAGGCAGAAAAATAAGGTGACCAGAATACTGTAACGCTCCGGGGTTCAGGCGGGCGCCCTTGCCGTTGCTGCTTAAGTCAGCCCCCCACCGTCGGGGACTCGAAACTGGGCCGCCAGCGTAGCTCAACAGGGACCCAGCCGCTTGAGCCAAAGGAAGATCTCCCCTCAGCCCCGCGGCTGTTGGCCCTGCTACTACAGAGAAGGGCGGTGACGTCTCTGGTAAGCCGGCTCTTACACACTCACTGGTGGCCATATGCGTTACAATACAATCTCAGCAGGGAGATTCAGCTGTGTACACAATGTAAAGGATCAATTAAGTTCAACGATATGTTCTCAGTTTGGATGAAAATCTGAGACTGCTCCTTGATTATTGACAGACTTTGCAAATGATGCAATGCCCCCTCAGCAGATTTAGTCAGCAGTTTTTACATGTCTGCCATATACAGTAACGCCAAGTGCAGTTAACCATTAGCCTGTAATCTACACCCAACCCACATGTAAAGAAATCTCATCCCTGAGTGCACTGATTGCAGTGCAGCATTGCAGTGCAGCATCGAAGATTGGCCCATGCCAAGTCAACTAAGCATAAGACCTAAAGCAAAGTCTGCTGCCAAGCCTAATAATCCAATTTTCTTAATTGCCTATTTTCTGTAACCAAGGATACAAAATGCATTCTGGGGGGAGCCTACACTGCAAATACAGAAATATTTCCCTTCTATAAGTTTGCAGTTAATGTGTTTATATTTCTGTCATATCCAGCCAGCTGGGATTAACCTTTACACTCTGCTTTATTCCCTGCCAGCTTTGAGAAATTGGCGCAGAAGCTACTTTTGCTGGAAAAGTCAGTCATTATGTCACAGGAGGAGACACAAAAAGCAAAGGGTCATGCAGATACACATGGTTCAATGTAGAAGTACAAGAATGAACATTCTGAATGGCCTTCAGGGGGGTAGCAATGGTGTTCTTGAACATTGTGTGAAGATTCCAAAAAGAGAAAACTCACACCTTCTTTGCAGTTCTTTAATCCGTACCATCATGTTGAGGTGTCCCTGAGAGTATTGTTCAATCACATCTCGTACGTCATACGGTTTTCTTGCTTGCTGTGAATTAAAAAAAAACACGAAAGAACAAAGTCATGTTTTCCCTTAACCTTTTAAACCTTGACAGGTGGCAACATCTAATCAACAAGACTGTCAGAAAGCAGACAGATCTGAAGCAAGACTAGAAACAGCTCTCCCCTAATATGGCTAAAACACCACCAAAGATACACATTAGAATTTGTCTTCAGGCTTTCAGGAAAAAACTATGTACCTTTGTTTATAAAGACCTACAGTAGTTGTTCAATTCAGGACAGACTGCACATTTCATTCTATCATACAATATACCTTGAACGAGGTGCAAATTCGCAATTTTCGAAATTCATAATATCGTGAAACGTTCCCACATTTGCAAATTCTGAAAACCAGAAAACCCTGTTGTTGTTGTTGAACGTGAGCACTACCTAAATAACTAGGTATATACTGTAACTGGTGCTGAAAGAATATTTTTTTGAAAAATAACGGTTCCAAAATAAGTTGGTATTAATAAGCTTTTTCTAACTATAATGGTAGCATCTGTGGTAGTTGGTAGTACAATGTGCTTAAAATGAATAATGGAAAATAAGTGTTTGGAAGACCATAAAAGGTTAATTTCTTCATCCATCCATTTTCAACCAAAATACCACCATCCGGACTGTGAGAGGAAACCGGAGCACCTAACGAAAACTCACATGACCTTGGGAAGAATGTTAGTCATAATGGACTAAACCCCAGGGAACAAGTGCTGTGAGGTAACTATTGTCATTCAGCCATCAATTTTCTAACCCCTTTATCCAATACAGGGCTGCGTAGGAGCTGGAGCTGGAACCCATCCTGGCAGGCAACTGGCACAAGGCAGAGTACTCACTGGATGGGATACCAGTCCATTGCAGAGCACACACAGACACAAACACTCAACCCAGAGCCATTTTTCCCAGAAGCCATTAACCTATCAATACTGTAGGTCTATGGACTTCGCGATGATAATGGAAAATCCAGAGGAAACTCATGCAAAGATGTGGAACACATACAAACTCCACACAGATAGCACCCCAGGTAAGGAATTTAACCTGAGGTCCCAGTGCTACAATAGCATTACTAACCACTGCACCACGGAGCAGCCCTAGTTTCTTCATTTTATTCAGAATTGCTATTAATACTTGATTTTGATGTCTTAGGCCTTATCAAGTCAAGAAATGCCACTGCTCTGGATAATGGATGTTATGATTCATAGTTTAAAAAATATTTGTAAAAAATATTAGTCAAAGTCTTGTGTAAGTTAAAAAAATATATTTGTGAAAACTGAGAAGCACAATCTAGTATGTCCAGATTCCTGGATGACTTATACTTTAGATAACCTCAGTTTAGATTTCAAAATGATAGATAAAACCTGGAAACAGATACTATTTTCAAACAGGGCTCCCTGCAGAATCTCAAAACGGTTTTTGAGAAGTTTGTGGTGTAGAATAATCAGAAAAAGGTTCCCTGAGCTTACCACAGACTGAGAGGCTGAATTTACATCTCAGAGTAGCATACAATTTGTGTTTGTCCATCATATAAACATACAAGCAAAATTTCCTTATTTCTGTATAAGGGGCAGGATTTATGTGAAGCTGGGACAGATTAACGCATCTCCTGGGCCTAATGGTATGCTACCAATTGTACTTCAGGAAACAAGAAATGTTATTCACAGGCCAATAACACAACTCTTCCAACTTGAAGAAATGCTTATGTGTCTTTTAGATGTTTATGGTGACACATCAATGCTTACACAATGAGATCACGGGAAACAATAAGGCAAACAAAATAGTACAATGGTATAGTTCAAAGCATAGAACTTCAATATAGAATTATTATGATAAAGTTGTACAATGAGTCGGCCACAGCACTTGTAAGAATATCATGTAGAACTTTGGTCACCATGTTACAAACAGAGGGTAGACAACGAGGGGACCTGATGTAAGTATTCAAAATGATCAAATACACTGAAAATCCTACTGTACAGTACTGACACACAAACCAGAGGACACAAGTGATAATTACGTAGATGTGCAATTACTGAGAACAATAAGCACAGTTTCCAAGGGCTGTGGGAGCATGAAACAAGGTGCCCATCCAAGTTGTTGAAGCTGATGCCCCTGCTCCTTTCAAGAAATGGGGGGATAAGATCCTTGGATCAGTTAACTACTAACAACCAAATGGGTTAGATGGTCCAGACAGTCACGATGTGTAAACTTTCAAGCGGTTTTATATTTCTTAACTGTTCTACGGGCATCTTTGAGTTGTTTTTCTGCAGAAAAAAACCATCTTGTTCACTAATTACAATTTTGTTTCCTTGTTTTCAACAAGGACTCCAACCAGAGCATCATCAGAACTCCCTTTGCTCTGTGGCATTATGTTAAATTCAGGTTTTACTTTGAGCCTGTTGGAATAAACTACACTTGAATGATTTATATTAAAAGGCAAACTGACAGTAACTAATTCACCGTGTGTATAAATGTTGTGTTTAAAAATTCTTCCAGGGGGCAAAGACTGGCGACGACCGGGGAAACGCGGCGTCACTCTCTCTGAGAGGCAGACGTGCTTTCACCGGATGTTTTTATATCCAGTTTTGAGTGAAAAGCAAGCATTTTTCCTACGCAAATAAAAACTAGCCTTTCATGGTGTGTTCGTCTTGTACTTTTCTACGCAATACACAAACACAATTGCTTCCCAGTGTGTTTTTGGTGTGCTCTCAAAACTCAGGCCCACAGGACATCTGCCTCCCCCAATGTCAAATAACCAGTACATCAATACAATTCATGAGCTGCTGTAATAGAAGGCAGCAAACCGGCAAGCACACTATTAAGAGCATGGATACAGGCTGGACAAGTGAGGCAGATAACCTTAATGTTTTTGAACAGAGACAAATCAGAGAGGTCAGCTGAGAGAAGTTGAAACCCCCTGACTTCCATCCCCGCCGAAGCAAGACAGAAGCATGACAGCGGATTTCTACGAAGGCTGTCGCCACAAGTTCCCTCAGGCTGACTGCTTCCCTTATTCTGGCAATTTATTGAACCAATTTCCCTCTTACCTGAAATTTCCGCCTGGCCACAAAGTACTGCATTCTTCGGATGACTTTGACTGCTGCCCGGTGTGCCTCTGTCAGTCTGCCAAAAAAAAAGGAAAAAAAAAACGTTTTCAGCATGAATTGAGGTTGTCTCACAATCACTTATTCCCTGTCATATAAATTATTTTGTGCGCACATACTGTACATCTGCTACTGTACGTGTACTGCTGGTGATTTAATTCATATCTGTCACACATTTGCAATTAGTGCAATATACTGTACAATCACTGGCTAAAATGTTATTAATGAATGGATTCTCTCAGAAGCAGGTAATGTTGACTAAAGGACCATGAAGCAGATTTTTCCTGCTCAATCAGTACGACACTAAAAGTGAAAAGTTCCACACAACACTGCTCTCATCACAGCCCCAGCGGGAGATGATCCTAATAGAAATAACCCAGTTCATTTTGCTGCTCTCAGAATTCCAAACCTAGTACCCATTCAGACTGCACTTGTATATCCTACAGTCTGCTCATATCTCAAAGCTAATGGCTGTGCTTCTCCTCCAGTCAGTGCATGTACTATACAGTACAGTTCATTGCATTTCTAGTTTCCCAAACCATGCAAATGCATATTATGCACACAATTCTATAACCTGTTACTGTGTATGTGGTGACTTACATATGATTTAAACTGAATTTGTTCATGTTTAAAACAACTTCTCATTTTTTATTGTACACATACAAACAAGCCTCTAGTACCAAATTCATGAGCCCAAATGTCAGACCGGCTTGAAGACTCTGGGTTGTGTCCTGTGAACTGATTGTCGAACTACAATAGATGTTTTGTTCAAACACTTCTCAGGAGGAGAGTTGACAGTTTTCTGATTTTCCTGCATGGGATATAATGCTTGAGGGGGGTCACTATAGTGCATTTTTGAATTCTGAGGCCAAGTGAATTCAGTCCCTAATGGAGTATTTTTCATTTTCAGCGATGCTTACACAAAGAGGGTTACAGAGTTCAGAATGAGAAACATGCAAAATTAAGAAAAATACATTTGAAGCATTCTCAAATCTTACTAAATTACAGTAAAAATCGCCAAACATTCTTCACACAATTACCCAGATTTGTCTTTGTATTGTACTGTATATGCATTTTTAATTCCACCTCTTCACCCAGAACAAAACAAGGTACAGTATCCCTACGATATCATATTTTGCTAATCATGAAACTGTCAGACTAAAATTTCGGCATATTTATTGAAGGTCTAATTTTGGTTTCATCCATTCTTAACTAGTGTACATCTCTAAAGAATATTTAATAAAATTGAAAGTTTATTCTTTAATATGACGAAAAGAGTCCTGTGGGAAAAACTTTACATTAAATTCAGTCACTTTTAAAAGGGCTTCAGTTTACCTGTAATAATGATAATCATCGTATTTAAGTTATACCCATCATTACAAACACAAATAGGAACATACACATTCAAAGAACATTTACAGTGTAGTATGTTAAATCTGGACACTGTTTCATTAGAAAGATTGCTTATTTTCAGACCATTCAAAAATTAAAAATGCAGTAAAGTGTATGATGAAGATGAAATGTACTGTAATCCATTTCATAGAGAACAATTCGATGTGTAATGTATCATTTCATATTTTTTTGTGAAGGTCTTGCCATAATGCCTTTCATTCATCGTGGTACACTGAGTCTGTCACAGAATGCCCAACTGCCAAATACTCAGTTTCACCTAAGTTGTTAATTTCCTGAATTAATTCATTTAAATAACTGAGGCAATTTATCATTGTTCTAAAGTCACAGACATTTCATGATTTAAATACACCACTAAAACATACTGAATGTCAGCTTTCTAGCACTGGAGCAAGACCCCACTGCAATGGTGCCATTTTATTTCCTGAAGCATTTAAATCCTTCCTAGTTCTCATTTGGTTTGAAACTAGTCCAGTTTTTCTAACATCCTAAGAGAGTGGATTGATATACAGTAACTAATATGCAGGACCTCCCTTCCCAATAAGACACAATTACCATTATTACCAGCTACTTCTATTAGCATAATATAGTTGTTTGGACTATAGCCTCTCAACATCATGATCCAGTTCCCCGGGTTCAATTCCATCTTGATTTGCCCTGTGTTCATGTGGGTTTTGCTGGGTGGTATGATCTTTTTATAGACAAACAAGTTACATTTTCTTGGCTTATCTAAAATGCATAAAATCCTTTTCAGAGGGTTTCATACTTCACAACTGAGATACAGGAGGTCATTCTCAGAAAGGATAGGGGATAACAGATAAATAAAACAAATATTATATCTATTGTTTCCACTTTATGTTTTTAAACTATTACTCATTTCATAGTTTAATTTAGCTTTTTTTCTCCATTTATAAAAAACTGTCAATGTTGTCTCACTTGTTTAAATTATACAAGCTGTTAAGCTACCGCAGTTCCAATGTGCTGGAAGATTTGATATTTAACTGCCAATCCTACTTTACAAATAGGAAACTACTAGAGGATATTCTGCTTTACAAATAGAATATCATCTAGTAGTACAACCCTACTACTAGAGCATATTCTATTTGTAAAAAAAAAAGCTTCTCCACTTTTTTGTGTTATGGGTGACACATTTGAAGGTCACATTGTTTACAGATTATGGAAACGGTTTTAAAACGATGAGCAAAGAGTTGAAAAATAGAAGAATAACTTCACTTCTGTGTGCCCTCTGGCACTTGGATGGATTTGTTACAGACTTGATGTTTGTGGGGGGGCAGCCGCAGACAGGAAGCTGTGGAAAGTACAGCTTTCGTGACCTTTCAACAACCCTGTGCTGTTCATCAACCCACGTGCCTGCTGGTCAGATCAGTTCCTGGCAAAGCTCCTCTTTAATATTTAACTCTAGATAATATCAAAACATCAGATTCTGTGACAAGTCGTTGTTCTGCATTTCCCACTTTCAAACGTAACCGAATTAAATACGGCTGTATCTTTTCTTGAAGGCCATGAACCACTGAATCTATTTTTTTGAAGTCACAAGGATAAACCGTTACACCACAATAGAAAAATAAGAAAAAATAAATTATCCCACCAAAGACCAAATTCAACATAACAAATTGATGCGGTAAAAAAAAAATGGTGAAAGAATTAATTCTACCTTTCCAATACATCAGAACTGCAAATGATTATTATTGAGTCAAGTAGATAATTAAATCTGTAATTCCTGAAATCCAGAACAGTCTGCCCTGTAACTCTTTTGTGATCTTAGGCTATCACATTAGATGACAAGGATGGACATCAGTTCTATATATAAAACAATAAAAAGCATTGAGAAATAAAAACAACCTCTTTCTGCAGATATGTTCCTTGCTGGATAGGAGCAGAAGAAATGTGTGTGCAGTATCATTCCACACACATGTAATTTAGGATAACTATTGTATTTTCCCCAAAAAATAATAATCTTTTACTCACTTGATACTTCCCATTTCAAGCATGTTGGAATCACGTAGCTCAATGTGACCAGCCATACTGAATCTCACACCAGAATAACATGTGATATGAGCTAACAACAAGCAAAATTTGCTTAGCAGAGTACTGTATGGCTATGTCCTTATCCAGACCCTGAGACAAAGTAGTTGTTCAATTCTCAGAGTCTAACTCTGCCAACTCTGGCCAAGGAGAGTTTTTTATGTCCTGCAGCTCAGACAGTAACACAGCCATTGGTTCAAAGAAAATGAAATCATTCAAACATCAGATTTTTACTTTGAAAAGTGACCACAAATATCTGCTCAGCTCCATGCATGAAATATGACATCAGTCCCAAAGGCATATCTCCGACATCAAAGTGTGCAGTTAAGGCTAAAACCTGGTGTTTAGAGTCTTTTGGACCCAAAGGATTTTAAGTTGTGATCCAGCCAGTTCTTTCACAGCTCAGCACTTCCTCCTTCACGTGATATTCCCTTATTTTAGAGAACAAAAAAAACAAAAACATTCAGCTAATGAAGTAAATGCTAATAACTAAAATTTGTCAAAACTACAGGAAGGGAGGAAATACCACTCCAAATATTTTTAGACTGCTGATAAAACATTTCCAAAATAGTTTACCCATCTCATAAAATGACTGCATTAGAAACTGTCAGAAGCACATTGAGTAAAATTAATTTGTACTGTTTGGAATTTGTTTCCTGTTTCATGGTCAGGGCCCTTTACATGATACAGTGTGGCACTGTGGGAGAGTTAAATTGCACAGTTTACAAGTCAGTTCAGAAACTAATAACTCCTGTTGGAAAATGGATATGTGATACAGCACCTCATGGAATGTCATGTACTGTACATTGGAACAAGTAATAGGTTTATTCCATGCTGAAAAAAAGAAGAAAGAGAACACAACGTTTCGGCCGTGGAGCCTTCTTCAGGTGTGAGAGAGACAGGGCAGTAGGCAAAGGTAAAGTAGCGGGAGAACAAAGGTTGAGAGGGAGGAGGAGCCTACGCATGCTGACGCAGCTACCCACCTGATGTACTGTACATTGCCTTGCAAAAGCATTCAGAACCTTGCACAGTTTCCACATTGTGTTGTTTTAGACCTTGCAGTTATGAAACTTTGAAGCAGTGATTCATATTTATTATATACCCAAACTTCTGTACACACATACAAAGCAAACAAAAAGAAAGAAGTAAAGAGATGATTAAAGGAAAAGAAAAATGGAAAAATCATGATTGCACTAGTATTCACCCTCTAGGTCGTGCACAAAAATTCCTTAACAAGCCATACAATCAGATGAGTGGCCTCTGCTTTGTGCAATAATAATGGTTCTGACATAGTGTATTGGAATATCCCTGCAAGCACAGTTTAATTAATTCTAAAGAAATGGTGTTACTCCCAGACGGGCCCAAGCTTTCTGCCTCCGGTCTGCTCGGAGACTGGTCACATTCGCAGGAAGGGCTCAACACAGCCCGGTGCTACAGGCACTAGATTCAGCAAGCTTCCCCAGCCACCTACTGCTCGTTAACATTAATGAGCACAGTATTTAAGCCCCATAGCACCACAGTCTTGGTCTGCCCTGATCTGTGAGTTCTGTGTTTCAGTCACAT